ATATATATATATATATATATCTTTGCTTTGGAAGTCTGAATACCCCGTAACCTCCATCGCGCCCGTCGAGATATCGATTTCGAATCGGAACGTGGAAGCGCGTCGACCGTCTAATCTCGTTAATCCTGTTTACCGTGATATAACGACGATAGTATTTTCATTGGCTGCAATTTGCAAGCAGCGAGAGATGGAGAGATCTTACCGAGACGTTGTTCCTTCGACTGCGTGAATAAAATGGCGCGAAGAGTTCGCTATAGACGCGATCACTCTCGTAAATTTGATCGTTAATCACCCCGTTGGAAACTGATGGAATCGAAGCAACGACTACATTGATATACTCGCGTGGGTGTCGAGTCGGGCTGAAGGGTGGTCGAGTGAGCAGCGATTACAATAAGAAAGAAAGAAAGAAAAAAAAAAGAGAGAAGAGACAGACAAGTAGACAAAACAGAACAGCCTACAGACAAAGGGAAGTAGAATTAAAATAGAGTAAAATCTAGAGCAGAAAAAACAATAAAACAAAAATAGGGATACGATAAGAGAAAAAAAAAAAAAAAAAAAAAGCGTGTAACAAGCGGAATGAAAGAAGGAGATCGATGTTGTATTGAGAGACGAAATGACGTGTGTGTTCCAGCAGCATCCGAACGCGACGAACAGTAGCGAGACGAGCGTGGGTGGCGTGTCGGGTGCATGCGGAAGCAGCGGCATACCGGCGGGTGGAGAGGCCGGGTGCAGCAGCAGAGGTGGCAGCAGCAGTGGTGCCGGTGGCACGGCCGGACAGGGCTGCGAACAGGGAGCCCACGGTGGCTCCTCGTCTCATTCCAGGGAGAGCCACGCCAAGTTCAGGCACGGCTTGCTACAGCTTATGATCCACACGATCGATCCGCTCCACGACGGTCAGTCCCGCGCCGGTATACCAACTCCACACTCTATCACTCTCGCTTGCCGCTTTGCCTTAGCGCTGACAGCACGCTCTTAGCTGGTAGTCGTTATGTTTTAGCATAGTTTTACTTTCTTTCTAGAGAACACCGTAACGAATCGACCGATCCTCCGTCTGGAGAAACGAAGCTGAACGTTGTTGTTCGATGTTGATCAATCTATCTGGTTTTGGTCCCTTTACGAGTTTCGACAAGAGTCCGGATAATCTTCTCGGGAAGGAAGCAGGGGGAGGGGGCGAGTCGCGAACCGTATCCGCTGAGTCGGCTGAAAATATCTCGCGACGAACCGCAAAACTTGGGAAACCTCTATCGGACAAAGTGCTTTTAAGTGTAGGAGTCACCCGAGGAACGATCGTGCGAAAGCTGCGGGAACGACACTATCCTTTCGGTCTATGTTTCGCTCTTTCTGTTCGACAGGCTTTGGTCAAGCCTAGTAACTAAGTCTTAAAATTCGGTGAAAATCGGTAGAAACATATCCACGAAACGTGACTCGAAAAGTATCCCGTGTATCCCGATTGCGGTATTAGCGTTTCGTATAATTGTAGAAGTAGAGTTCCGTGCCATCGAACAGTTTCCCAAACTAACTTCGTTAATTAACTGGCAGCCGTATGGATGAATATCATTAAACGATTGCTGCGATCGGATTTAAAATTCCAATTGAAACCGTATTCAATTCCGTCGTTGAGCAAGTCGTTGCAAAGACATCGGGGTCGTAACTCGTTTAACCTACATACAGGTGCCATTTTGTATCGTGATGATCTCTACTTTCCGCGATAGAACGTTCGTTTCCCTCGAACGACTTCTCTCTTCTTTCGTAACATGCGTGATCCGCGAGTTCTCGAAGTTCTCGTGGGAAAGATCGGACAGTAGCGTTTGCGTAGTTGTTCGTCCAACTGCACTGTTTTGTTGCATGACCGATGATTGTATACCGTTTGTGTCGGACGAAATAACGAAACGTTGCGGACGTACTTGACGATAAAATGAGCTAGAAGTTCAGTGTCGTGCACGTTGTGTTTGGGTGCCTGCGTACGATAATACCATTCGATGCACGTGTTCACTTAGAAGTCAGTAGAACGACTCCCGTTATGATCGGACCGCTCTTTAGTTACGCCGTCATCGATGGTTTCGCGCGAGACCGATACACTGATACACCTTTCATTGTGTTTACCCTTTTCGTCATCAAGTCGCTGAAAACCTTGAGAAACAGGGAAGTAGTTTGTAATTTTTAGACACGCGGTATATCTATCAGTGTATCGTATATGTATGTATTATTGTTAGAAATCAGTAGAACGACACCCATTGTGGTCAGACTGTTCGTTACGTCATAGCCAAGTTTCGCTTATAAAATCCTGAGAAATAGAAGAATTTATCGGTGATTAGGATAGTGTATTATTTATTGTTAGAAATCAATAGATAATACGTCATCAATGATGGCTAAGAGATAGAAATTCGGGATATATTTATTTATTTATTTATTATTTATTCACGAACGAGTACTCGTTTTTTTCATAATGAACATGTAAAACCGGTCATAGCATGGCGACTTGTGCAGAAGTTATGATACAGAAAAGAAAAGTTTTATTGTTAGAAATCTTTAGAACGGTCTGATATAATCAGACTTGCGATATGTCGATACGTCGAGATATTTCGAGTCATCAAGTTTTTTTTTTTTTTTATGAATCACCAAAAACTTTGAGAAAAGCATTTGTAAAAGCAAAGATATATATATATTTCTCGATTAGCGA